AGACTTTCAGTTATACATAGGTTTGAAGCATATAATTTGGAACAATTATACTGTAACATTCACAAAGAGTCACAATTCAGAAAAAAAACTTAACTGAAATTAAATTTTACACAAAACAGATCATTTTTCAAAAAAAGAATACATACTGGTTTGTGTTACAGACTAAAAGGTCTTGTGAGAAGCATTAATTTACAACATAGATTCTGCTCATTTAAAAAATCCTTTTTTGTTTATTTACTGATTTCAGCTGCTTCCTCAGTCCAGGAGATGTTATGAGACTGGACATTAAGATCATTTTATAGGAATATCAATCAAAATGCTTATTAACAATGTGTTTAATCAGATTGTAGATTCCTCAACCATTTAATTTATACTAAACTGGTTGTTTAAATAAATCCTGCCAAATAAAATATATTCTACCTCAGGTAATAAAGAGTATTTGTTAGTGCCCAATCTCATTGTATATAAAAACATTACTCCCTCTGACTATTATCTGTATACTACTCTGATGTATTTATATGCTTCACAGAATTGGTTAAACATGAATAGTCTGTCATATTGGTGACTGCAGCAGTGTATCTGGTTGCAATTACTGCAACATATTCAAATGTTTGCATTTATATGAACCTAGAGTATGAATCCATTATGCTGATACTATAAATTATATTTGAAGGAAATAATAATTTAATATTAATATTCTAAATTATTTATGCCTGCCTACAGCCAGGAAACCAAGGTCACTTTGGTTTGCCTACAAAATACAGTCAGAACAGTTCACGGTAAAAGCCTGTGGAGATGTCCTCCCGATAAATAAAGGCGTTGTATTAAATGCAAGGATTGTTGTTATTACAATTTAAATCACTCTGTAGAGGTAGTTTCTAAGTGGTTTTCAGTGATAGATCATCATGACCAATAACACTGCAACATTACATATGAATGGATGTTTACTTTTCTTTGTATGTTTGAACTTCCTAAAACAGTTATTTTTGCAGGAGGTTGATATTTTGTTATTATACAACTGCATCTTTTTAGCATTTGTTTGCTTAACAAGTCAAGGGATAAGTGATTCATTAAAATAAATTCAATTGTTATCTACTAGTAATTTTTAGCATTTGTTTTCATTTACCTCAAGGAAACACATAATCAGATGTATTATTTTTGCAGGCAATGCAAAAGACAGATGTTACTTTATTCACCCATGGATAATGGCTGGCTCTTTGAGCTCATGGACTACTCAATTATTTAATACATAGGGTGTTGGTGTTTGAGACTAGGGAACATGAGCAGACAAGGAGGCTGATTCTTTTATCCAACCTCAAATGTTAATGGGTTAATGCTAAGAGTTAGACTATTTACAGACCAAGTTTTAAAATATTTTGATATGTTTAAAATGTTACAAACAACTGTCATTACTGTTTTACATTTCATTGTCCAGTCGTAATGACGTGCTGTCACTCTCAAAAAGCCATTTTTCCATTTCACTGGGAAAGATCAAATCATGCAATGAAAAAACCTGAGCAAGATGGGAATACTTAAAATGTGTTTGATAAGGACTTCTCTACTTTACCCTGAGCATGGGGAACACAGGAAGCTTAAATTCTTAAATGTTTGATATTTAGCTTATTACGCATCAAAATCTTTTGAAGTGATTGACCTAGGAATTGATATGTCAGTATAAGTACTCTAGTAGAAGAGGGGAAATCTGTTTACCGTCATTTTTCCCCTGTGCTTTATGGGTCTGCTTGAGGCTGTTGTGAACTAGCTGCACAAAGTCAACTCCTACACTTGAGTAAACACTCGAGTGGCTTTCCTGTGGCTTAACACATAAAAATATATCTGCAAGTAATCAGCCTGGTTTCAAAGTGTAATTGTGCATACACTGAAGCAGGTCAGAGCCAATAAAAAAACACAGTGTTAAAAGCCAAATATTTCAGTTATCATACAGTCTAGCCAAGCTTCTCCTAGAATTGTCCAAATATGAGCAAAAGCATTATGTGTAGCCTGCAGTTTGCAGCTTGTTATTCAGTCTTGTAATACTCCATTTATCATTCTGTTGTCATTAACTTGTTAAACTTTCCATGATTTGTGTATACTCTTCTAATGTGTTGGGAACCTAAAATAACAACATGAAAGTTGCAACTTAAGGCTTTTGTAAATTGCTTTATGATCCGTTTGAGGCTTTGGAAGAAGCAAGGAATTTGCCCTGGTTACACTATGCCTTCTGAGGCAGTTTTCTAGCAGTGGTGTGAGCAAAGATCACAAGCTTAGTTTTGATGAAGAAGTCCGTTTGACCTATTTGATCGCATCCTTCCAGAATATCCATCTTTCCATCACAGCATCAAGCTGTTTTTTACATGAGTCCATTGTCCTAGCTTCAACCATCCTTCCTGACAACTTGTTCCCGCCATTAATTACCCTCTGGGGTAACATCTAGTCATCTGTCCTTAAATTGCACTTTGCAACTCTAAACCTATGTCCTCTCTTTTACTGTCTTGATGAATCCTAAAGAATTTTTACAATCGTATTTAAAATGTTATGTGCCTCTATAACATCTCCTCTGAGAAGCCTCATTTCAACACTGAAGAGCCCTGGCTTGTCTAATTGTTGCTCATAGTTCAATCCTCCAACCCTGGGGATTATTTGGAGTCCTGTAGCTCAGTGGTTAGAGCACTCACTTTGCAAGTGAGAGACCTGAGTTCAATTCCAGGCAGAGCGAAACCTTGGGCAGTTTCCTTACTCCACACGCCTAATAATAATCCCTCCAAAACCAAAAAAAACAATAATAAATTGGTCATTTTCAATCTACGACTGTTTGTGGGACATTGCTGTGCGCAATTGGCTGCCGCGTTCGCCCACAATTATACAGTCAATTCACTTTGCAGTGTGTTCTGTGAAGCGCTTTGGGACGTCCTCCCGACGTGAAAAGCGCTATATCAAATGCAAGGATTATTATTATTATTATTATTATCTTCATTGTTCTCATCTTCCCTAGATCTCTTTCAGGTTTCCCCTTGGCAATTTCTATCTGATTCATTGAGTAATTTTTAATGTGTTTCCTATTCTTACTTCCTATATGCATTTACTTTGCAATTATTTGTATCAACCTCCATTTGCCATTTATCAGCCCACAGAGTGCATATTCTATGAAGCTCTCTTTGCAAGATGTTTGCTAGCTCCTCTGATTCCACAGTATCCCCTGTGGTTATATAGCTTTCATGTCACTGTAAAATTCTGTACCCTATATATTTATATTCCTGCACAAGGTGCTGGTTTACAGTCTCTGACTTCTGGTGATATTTCTAATGACAGAATCAATCTGACAGAATAGTCCACTTTATTTTAATCATATTGAAACAACTCAGAAGGTTTGTGTGAGTTTTGAAAACATTAGAAGTGAAATATGAAAATCGTGCTGCACCACTAACAGTATATTGCAGCCGAAAGGCAGTGTTACTGAGGTGTAAGAGCAGAGCACCTTTGCAGGTAGTTTTGCTACTGGTGGCAAACTTGTAGTTTCAGTGAAATCAGCAGCATTATACTACATGTTTGTCTTTGTTACAAAACAAAAGATTGTTCCATACCAGTGCTAAAAAGGCAGTGTACATAGCACTAAATGCTACTGAATTATTTACATCTGTTTCAGGTAACTGAATACAACATATACTGGTACGTAACATGCAACTATTTTTAGTTTATTGTAATAAGCCCTGGATAGTGGAGGACCATATTTCTGGGAGACTATAGATTAAACAAGTAAACCTATGCTTATAAAATCTAAGATTGATGGGTACATAAACATGCTGTTTATACACTTGTTATTTGATATATAGAAGTATAATTACCTCCAAAAAGACACTCACTAAATGTAACAGTCAATTTGTGAAGTGCTTAGAGATGTTTTGACACTACAGGTACCAGATAAAATCAAAATTTTATTTATTTATAGGTAACTACAATGTAGTTTTATAAGAGGGTTATGTCAGTGCAATTCTATGGTGGCAGAAGCAGCTTTGCAGATGTTTTTTGTTTTAATTCCCATTCTCGACTGACTGCCTCTCGATCTTTGCAAAGTGCTCTGAGATGTTCTCCCTATGTGCTTGGGATTATATAAGTGTAAATTGTTGTTTGTACATGCAGAAAATGAGGTTGAGAGTGTCACTATGGAACAATTGAGGCATCTGATGAAACAGTGCTAATAAGCAATGGTGTTCAATTGCACTCAAACTATATTGAATATCATGAGTGCCATTTGATGCACTTTATCATATTATGCTACATGGAGGATCAGCAGAGCAAGCCCCAAGAACAAGAGTACTTCACTGTCTTGAATTTGATTAAATTGCAGGGAAAGTTTTAGTTGATTCAAATTCCATTGACTAAATTGCAGCACACTTTATTATTGCTTTGTGATCACATGCATCTCTTTTTATTGCTTGAAAACTTGATCTCCTCATCTTATTATAAAACTCACTATTTCTTTGCAAGTTCTTTATTTTTGTATTACGAGCCAGCAAAAGTATTTAGCTGGAAATATAAACCTCTACTTGAAATTATTTGGACAGAAAATGCTGAGAGGCACGGTGATTATGATGAAACAAAAATTTATGTAATTCATCGCTTTTCTACAGTTAGTAACTGGTCTGTATCCGTCCAGATATTTCATTGATTTGACAGGTTGTGTGGAACAAAAGGTTGTATTTGTGGCCATATTAACTTTCAGAGCTGTAAACCGTATGTTATGAAACTAGTTTTTTACAAAGATTTAGGAAATGCAGAAAAATAATACTAAAGATGACAGGTTAATATCAAACTTCAATACTTTATCTGAAGAAGGCCCAATTCTTTGTAGCGTATGCATTTGTCATGGTTAATTAATATCTAGTAAGGCAATTTACACAAATATTTAAATCAACTATTGTAATTAACTATTCATCATCATCCATTACTCCGCTTGTACTTGTTATTAATTCATCATCATGTTTCTTCTGTTCTGTGTGCAGTGATCTCGTCCAGTTACAACAACTACACAACCAGGTCCTGCTTGAACAACAGCAAGAAGCTTCACTGCCGCAGCCATCACCGCAGTCTCCATCCCAGTCCACCTCATTTCCACCTGATTTTCCATCAACTATGAGTGTTGTCAATTCTGCTTCAAATCTGTCAGGGCAGCAATCCACATCTACAAAATTACAGACATCAAAGTCCACCCTTTCTCAGACTTTTAATTATGCCAGGCCAAAGCAGTTCATTGCTGCTCAAAATATCACGCCAGCCATTGTCAGCAATTATTCAACATCACAGCCAAAGCAGCCAAATGAAGAAAATTACTTTGGAGCTGCGTTAATGCCAGCAAATCAGTTTACATATACCAGTGCATCATCTCCACTGCCACACAGTTCTCCTACCACTAGTTTAGCTGGAGGATCTATTTCTCCCCCCTTTCCTCCAAGACCACAATATCATCCTCGGGTAATATCTCCAACTTCCCCCAGTAGCTCTTCTCCCAGTCCAGTTCAGGACCCAGTGGCTTTCCTCAGCTCTATTCTTCCATCACTACCTTCTCTACCAACTACCAATGCCATGGGTCTTCCCAGGAGTGCCCCTGCAGCGTAAGTGTCTGTTCAAAATAAACTCATGGTCACTGTCACGGTCAAATAAAAGGGGCACTTGAGAAGGAGAGGGTCAAAGCTCTCTACTTGTAAAATACTATTAATGTATACCATACACGCATAATGTTGTCTACATTGAATACAGCCACATACTGTACACAATTATTGCATATAGATTGGACTCTTACAATAAATTTATCTGGTGAATAATCATAAGATACTCTTTGGTGTCCATACTTTAATTTTACTTTCTTTTCTGAATATGATACTTAGCTGCCAATAGAATAATTTCATTGCAGTTTACCATGGATATAACTTTATACCTGAAATAATCCAATCAAGTATTAAAAATTCAGCAATCACTAACATCAGACATACATATGATTTTCTACGTAAAGTAACAGATAAGCTAGACTTGTTGTTGGTGATTGTTTGTCTTCATTGAGTTAAGGGTTGAGATGCGGAATAAAACATTTCTATTTATTGAGTTTCGCTTCTAACTGTATCAGTGTGAAATTTTCTCATTCAACATCAGAATTTGTTATGATTTCTCTGAGTAGAGAGGCTGCTAATTAGTAGCAAAAGTTTTGAGCTGTGGACCCACATGCAGTAACAACAAGCTGAAACCAAATTGATTTTATATGTTTCAGAGAGAGACCAAGATGTGAGTGGATTAAATTGAGTCTTGTCACTGTGAGTTGGATTAAATTTAGGTTCCATAATTGCAATGGGAATGTACTCTCCCAGAGAACTTTCTAAGTACCCAACTATAGTCAATGTAATTCAGTTATCTGTAATGTAAATTTATAAACTATGTATGTATATTGTGCATAGAATATTATGAACCAAATATTCTTCAATGTTGCATAATTAGAAATGCTACTTTGTTTATATATGCAGTTCTGCACAAGGTATTTTGAAGAAGGCTGTCATATCTCCTCGAACATCTACTGACCACGATATACGTGACAGCAAAGATGCCGTTATGTTTGACCTAGAGAGAAAGCTACGTTTGAAAGATGATGTTTTCCAAAATGGACAGCAGGTAAGGTATTTTATATAAGACAGGTGCCCTGCAAAAGATTTTTACTTTTTTTAAAAAAAGTTTCATTCGCGTTTCCAAATAATTCTATATACACCAAGATGATATTTTCACTTTCTGACTTAAACAGCATTTAAAACCATTTCTGTGGATATTTAAACAAAAGTTCCTGTATATCCTATTAAACCTGTAAAGCACTAAGAAGATAAAATAACACCTTATCAAGTCCTCAAAGTGCTTCACAGAACAAACTGTGAAATGAATTGACTGTATATTTTGTGGGCAAAACTTTTATAAAACATCAGATGTCAAAACATTCTTATGATGTTAAGATCATTGTTTTAAAATGTAAAATTAGGCCGAATTCTGGAAAATTCTTTAATTCAGTCTTAATTTGGACTGTTTATTTCAGAAGTTAATTTAAGTTTTTTTCAGAAACCATGGCTAAGATTATGAGCTCAATATTTTCTAAAAATAAAAAAGGAAACATTGAAAATAATGCAACAGAACTACTCGAGCCATCTGATATGGAATTATAGTTATGTGCTTAGTATTTGTATGACATTTCTGAGAATCTTCATGATGCATCAATAAGTCAAGAAATTACCAGCTTTATATTTATTGGATGTGATACTTATTCTGATTCTGTTTATTGCTAGTATTCTAATCATCTGCTTCTCTTCAATAGAGATTGACTTATGAGGATAAATTGGCCCGTAGATTCCTTGGACCAAACAGTTCTCCATCAGTTGTTAATTTTGGTGAAGTTGAGGATCATACAAAATCACAGGTACAGCACATCTTTTCAGTTATGTTTATTAGAGAAATTTGTTGTTGCTTGCCTGTGAATAACATTTCACTAGATTCCAGCTCGAAATAGCCAATTATAACAAGCAACAATTCAAAGGCATTGTAAAGTCCTGTAGCTCAGTGGTTAGACCACTTGTCTTAGAAGTAAGCGGACCTGGGTTTGATTCCTGGGCAGGGTGAAATGTTGGGCAAGTTTCCTTACTCCACATGCCTCTGTTTCTCTAGCAGTAAGTAGTGGCAATTGGCAGAACACTTTTCCGATGGTAATAATCCCTCCAAAAAATAGTAATGATTTGGTCGCTCAATCTCTGATATCTGTGGAACACTCCTGTGTGCAATTGGCTATCTCGTTTCACCCACGAAATGTGCTGTCGTTACACTTTACAGTCTATTCCTCGAAGTGCTTTGAGATGTCTCAAAGATGTGATGAGGCACTATATCAAATGCAAGGAATATTATTATGAACAAATTACTGTAATAAATCAAAGATATTTACTGTAATAAAACATTTAGCAATTGCTCATTCCATTACACAGCCAATCTGCACAGTATGAAATACAATTCTGTAATTATTGCTAAATTAACATGCTTGTGTAAAGTGATGCGGAGAGTGCAGGAAAGGTGGTGGGTGGAGGGGGGCTTTCTTCACCAGTGTTCTCCCTCCTCTCCTGAAACATTTGACTCATTTTTTTCCTTTTATTAGGCGTTTGGTTCCACAAGCATGGAGCTCTCTTCAGCACCTTACCAAGTGGCTATTGTTCATGTATGAGCTTTCTCAGTGAGTGTCAGCAAACTATTTGACCACAGGGACTTGGCAGCTGAGTTCAATCCTGTCCTGACCTGACATTCACTCACTTGAGTAGATCAGTGCAAAGTGTGTTCAACCACTAGACTTTGGTTAGTAGTGTTGGATGTGAAAGAGCAACAGTTGCTTATTATTCCATAATAATTCCCTGTTAGAGAGTGACATTAGTCCGTTTGTCCATCATCCAAAAAACGTTTATTATTTGCAGCTAAAGGTTGCATCCATGGCTTAAGCAGGATTACATATCTCAATGGTAACTATTAACAAAGTTACAATCAACCATTTATTAAACTCTTTTTACCCCTACAGGACTTTAAGTATCTGATAGAATCAACTCGCAACAGTCTTGGTCAACAGCAGGTTAAGTCCAAAGTCATGTTTTATTCTTCTTTTACAGAGTCTTTCTCATTGTTCTTTCTTTTAACTTTACTATATGTAGTACTGGGGCATATTGCAGCCAACTGCATGAAGAATCAATGTGCAAACTCTGTCAGACTATATGTTATGAAGCTTCAGTTCACACTTGTGAAAATTGTATCTGTCTTTTGGAGATGAAGTCTTTGGGGAGCATTCATTCCTGGAATTGCAATAGTGCTTGCCTGATTCCCAAGGCAGTCATCAGCCAAATCTAGCATGCAGTCTTGCTGTTGGATTTATAAGGTGATTTGTGTTTCTCTGGCTTTCACTTGGACTATCTTTGTTTTTAAATACAGAACTTTTGTTTCTACATTGGTTCAAAATGCATCTTAAATGTATCATTCTGCCAATAAATGTTAGGAGTCTCCAATTTAACGATTCTACTACTAACATGTAGTTATTTTTCTTTTTCCAAAAGTGAAAAAGAAAGTTTTTTCTTCTACTTTTGTTGGGATAGGGTTGGAAAGGGACGAGGAGAATGAACTTTACATTTTGCTTGTAATTTTCCAATAATCTCCGCAGGTTACAGCAATTTGCAATTAAATACCACCTTATATTTGAAAGAATGTCTCAAAACAGTTGACAAATATAGCCAAGTAGGAATATCAAGATTTAAAGATTTGGCTTTCAGATTTAATATTATTCAAGGAGATGTGCGCAATAGAGGTCAGATTATATCAGTTTTATGTTAAGACACTATTGGAATCCTATCTGGGATTATATTCCCTCCATCACCATTGATTTTACAGTTCCAATTGTTTTCATAGTTTTAGAGATTTTTAGGAAAAATAACCTGAGGATATTTTATTTATTAACCAAAAATCAGATGATTTACATTAATTTGCTCTTGTAAATGTGCTTAATTTGATTATATAATAACTTATTTTTCATATCAATTTGAGAGACAAACAGATTTTCAGAACACAAAGTGCATTATTTAATGTTAAAGAGCCTTTCCTATCAGGGTTAGATGAAGAATATCTTCAATAGCTGCTGATTGCTAATAACAAAAAACAACTTGCGCATATATATGTCTATATATATATCTATATATATTTATGAATATATATATATGAGAATAGGATTAGTGGTTATATGGACGAGTTAGAATTTATGAAAGGTTAGGTTGTCCCAAGGCGCTGTACAGTTGGGTCAGGACCCGAGCAAGGGGGAAATGGTCAGGGTGAGGGAGGGAAGGGAGGGAGCGAGGAGGGGGTAGAGAGTCAAGAGGGGAGCTGAAGGCACGGTGAAAGGGAAAGGTCTTGAGACCGGGCCTTGAAGGAGGAAAGGGAGGAGGCAAGGCGAAGGCACTGGGGGATAGAGTTCCAGAGCCTAGGGGCTGAGAGGCTGAAGGCCCGGCCACCGATGGTAGGGCGGTTGGGGCGGGGGATGTGGAGCAGACCGGAGCCAGAGGAACGGAAGGTACGGGCAGATAGGTAGGGGGATAGTAGATCGGAGAGGTAGGAGGGAGCAAGGCCGTGAATGGCCTTGTAGGTGAGGATGAGGATCTTGAAATCGATCTTGTGGGGGATGGGTGCCAGTGGAGGCGAGCGAGGGTGGGAGTGATGTGGTCCCGAAGCCTGGTGCGGGACCCTACACGAGCTGCAGAGTTCTGAATGACCTGCAGCTTGTGGAGGGAGGTGCCGGGAAGGCCGGCGAGGAGAGAGTTCCCATAGTCCAGTCTTGAGGTGATAAATGCGTGGACCAGAGTTTCAGCAGCGTGAGGGGTGAGGTAGTGCCATAGTCTGGTGACATTCCGGAGGTGATGGAAGGCGGTGCCAGTTGTGGCGCGGATATGAGGGAGAAAGGACAGCTCAGGGTCGAACAGAACATCGAGGTTACTAACTGACTTTGAGAGGTGGAGAGTGCAGCCTTGGATGCTGATGCTGTCAGCGCCTGAATAAATATGGAACAAATTGTATTTACCTCCACTATATAAGCTGGCCTCTCATCTAATACAAGCCTTTTTTTAAAATTGAAAGCTCTAATCAAGTGTCTAAATAACGCATTCTAAACATATTATCATTATACCTTTCATTCTCGTGAACAGAGAAAAAATGCAATTATATTTTCTTTAAAAATGGGCCATTTTTTAATTGCTTGTGCTTTGTTCCTAGCTCAAAGTTTGACAACTTTGAAAAGTACAATGTGCAAGCTTTTTTTCCCAACTAGATGAGCGGCAACTTCAAATCAAAATGTTTCTTGGTTTTGGCAACAAAGAACAATTCTAGCCCAGGGTATGTGATTCTTTGCAAAGATCTGGCCAGCGATAACGCATATGCCTGTCAGATGTTAAAAAACTTTGTTGCCTTAGGTTTATGTTAAAAACTTTTAACATCTGTAACATATTCATAGCTAGACATTTCGTTGTCAATGGGTCATCTGCTTCAGCATTCGAATAATTTTAGATGTACACACACAAACACCACACACATGATAGATACACCAGGAGCCGTAAATCTATGGCAGACCTAAAATTAATACCATCCAAAAATATTTCATTTGTTGCCAACATTTTAGATTCTACTTGATTCATATCCAACAAATATATCTAATGTTGAGTTCTCTTAAAAATGTCAAAAGTTTATAGTAACTAAAAATATTTGATCATGTTCATTATTCAGATGAACTTCAGATGCATTGTTAGCCAATATATATATATATCCTGAGTTGTCATGTCTGAAAGAATCATGTTCTGTATAAGTTGCTAATTCTGCTCTTCAGCTTTCCTATGTTCTTTGTCATTGAAGGTCTACATTTTACCTTTTATCAGCTTCTTACTAATCAGCCTCTTTGTACTCAGCATGTTATCTTTCTTACAATATTGCCTCAGTTACAGGTAGTGGTGCTATTTCTTCCAACAGCCTATGAACTGGATTGTACTACAATTTTTCTTCTCAAATTCTGATGCAAAAAAAACAATTTACAGCATTCATGTATTTATTAATCAAGGTATTCATAATGTTTATGGGAAAATTTCTGTCTCTAGGAATATAAGGTGTCTAACTTTGAACAGAGGCTGATGAATGAAATTGAATTTCGCTTGGAAAGAACCCCTGTGGAGGAATCTGATGATGAAATACAACATGAAGACATCCCTACAGGAAAGTGCATTGCACCAATCTTTGACAAGAAACTCAAACATTTCCGAGTGGTTGAAGGATCACCAGTGACATTCAGCTCCAAAGTTGTGGGAATACCAGTGCCAAAAGTAGGCGTTTGATATCTATGATGTTTAAACACTCAGCAAATATTACCGCATATTTTTGTTAAGCTTTTCTCTGTTTACTACAGATTGGTGATTGTGCTCATTAATCATTCTCTAAATAACTATAAAGTGCATATATGCTTCCTGCAAAGAAACAAATCTCTTACAGTTACAATAATCATTTCTGGGATTTTGTTGCCTTAGGTTTATTGGTTTAAAGATGGAAAGCAGATCTCCAAGAAAGATAAACTTATCAAGATGAAGCGAGAAGGGGATGGTGTGTGCTCACTCTATATTAAATCAGCCACTAATGATGATGATGGAAACTATACTATTATGGCTGCAAATCCTCAGGTAAGAACTGAACTTTTAAAACCATGTTCTTTCTCTCCTTAGCTTTGGAATGCTTAATTCTTTTAGATTTCTTGTTTGGGAAAACTACTTTTGAATTATGTGATGTGAAAGGTACCATTGAAAGGTATGATGTGATGATGATCACTATAAACTACATGTTCTCCCTGGGATAAATTAGCCTTTTATACTTCATAGTGTGGGAAGTGCATACTTTAGTTTCATTAACAGTGTAATCAGCTGAGCTCAGAGCAGAATGTACTCTGAATGTGTTGCCTTGTTCTCTGTCATATAGGGAAGGATTAGCTGTTCTGGTCACCTCATGGTACAGAGTACTCCAAGGCGTGGACGTTCAGTACCACCTATCCAGAACCAAAGGTAGGTTTCATTTAAAATCGTATATTACACAATTCATTATTTACTATATGAGTTTTATATTTCCTTACACAAAAATGGGACAAATTGGTGGATGTCAATAATTTTGCTGACAGCTTCCATTTAGAAGAGGTAGTCTTGGGACAGGGGTTTAGTGAGAAGTTAATCACCAAAACATCAGGAATTGCCAATGAGAGACCAGCACTGGTCCATTAACTGTGGCTAGGGAAGTGCAGTCAATATGCCCACATCGGTTGGCTGCCCTCATGAGAATTAACTCTGATTCGCAAGTCTAACATAAAGCACTTTATTAAAAAAAAGCACCTTAAAGCTGTTCAAATAATACTGATTGTCTAGCACATTTGTGGGTATATGCCTAGCAAATGACAAAGAAATTAAGTGAAATGTTGACATTTTCCCAGTAATGCAGCTTGTTGTGTATTGGGTGACAGGACAAGGTCCCGCGTATTAGAAGGAGAAGAACCTGTTCAGGAGCGTTTTTTCCGCCCCCATTTTCTTCAGGCAACGGGTGACATGGTGGCTCATGAAGGACGATTTTGCAGGTTGGATTGCAAGGTACAGGCTGCAAATAATAGCTGTGATTATGGGAAGGTTGTGTAGAAACTGGTTAACATCTTTCGAAGCCCTCTTTTTCAATCCTGTTTCTCCTGTATTTAGTCTTAATTTGAACTGTAGCATTCAAATGTGAATATCCCAAATCTCTGATCACTGTAAAATCAGTAATTGCTTTAAAGTAAACAGCAAATTCTTTCTTCTTCATAGAAGATTTTAATTTTATCAACAAAATAGGCTGCTGAGTTTCACCCACAAAATATACAATCGATCCACTTTACAATATATACCGTGAAGTGTTTTGAAATGTCTCATTGATGCTAAATCAAATGCAAGGATTATTATTATTATTAAAATGGTCCCCTATTATGTGCAGATACAGGATGTGTAGTTTTTACACACACTGCTGAATACATTCTCTTTTTCTCTGCTAGGTGAGTGGGTTGCCAAATCCTGACCTTATATGGCTACTGAACGGAAAACTGGTCTTGCCAGATGCTTGCCACAGGATGCTGGTGCGTGAAAATGGTATACACTCCATCTTAATTGATCCACTTTCAGCAAGAGATGGAGGGACTTATACATGTATCGCAACTAATAAAGCAGGACAGAGTTCATTTAGTCTGGAGCTGTCTGTTGTAGGTAAGATACTTATCTTAAAGCTTTCTATAATCTCAGAAAACTTCACAAATTATTCAGCTATAGGGTAATCACTAACCGCCCACCAGGACTTGAGCTCATAATTTAGGCTGACACTCCATTGCAGTAATCAGGGACTGAGTTGTGGTATCCTTCAGAACAGATACTCAACCAAGGTTGGCAAAAATTTCAGGTGAGACAACTGATATCTAAAGACTGTGAAGTCTCCTATTTTTAATCTTTAAAACTATTTATATTTCATACTTAACAAACTGCACTTAATGTTGCTCATTTTAAATTTACTTAGTTGCCCTCAATAACCCACCCACCAGTTGATTGTCATATCCCAGCAACTTTTCATTATATTTTGCTGTTAAAATTTACCATAAATTTAACTGAAAGAAGTAACATTGGAGGAACCAGGAGGCAACACTTGGCACTGAAAGAGGGAGAATTGGGAGAGTGGAGGGGGGAGGTGGTACAATTAGGGTAGGAATGCAAATTTTAAAAAAAAGTTGAGCTACTTTTCTATTGTTCTAGTGTTTTATTAGCAAACTATTCTGATTTCATTTATTTGACTTTGCAGCTAAAGAAATTACCAAAGCACCAGTGTTTATTGAGAAGCTGCAGAATGTAGGAGTGGCAGAAGGCTGCCCCATCAGATTAGAGTGCAGAGTGCTGGGCATGCCACCCCCCACTATCTTCTGGAAGAAAGACAATGAAACGATCTCCCCCACCAAGGAAAGAATAAAGTATGTACAAACTACATAATATGCAATATGGTCATAGCTACTTCTGAGATAACTATGGAAAATACATCTTTTTTTCTCTCTGGGAAAACTGCTCTCCCCCTCCTTCACCCCGACCGTCCGCTTGGGTCCGTAACTCTGTCTGTCCAGCGCCTTGGTACGTCCTCCCGACGTGAAAGGCGCTATACAAATGTAATGTATTTTTGTTGTTGTTCACAGATAAAAAACAGAAGTCGCTGATAGAAGTAGCAACTTCTGTTTTGTTTCAGATTTCCAGCATCTGCAGTATTTTTCATTTTGTCTGTTTTTTATCTGTTTAGCCCATTAACTTTCCAGTCCTATACACAGGGACGTGATATCATTACAATGTCTAATAAGTCTTAAAGAAATTATGTTTTTTATTAGAAAATAAGGTAGCTTCACGAATTTTTGGTCAACCTGTATTGGTGCATGTATATTAAGACTCAAGATCATAACCTGGCACGACACTCCAGTGAAAGACTGGGGAATTGCTGCATTCTCAGAGGTTTCAACCTTCAAATGAGACTACAGTCTGAGGTCTGGTCTGCAAGGGGCTTTCAAGATCTTATGACACAATTGAAAAAGCAATCTTCTCCCAATGCCCTGGCTGGCAATCTTCCAGAATAATTAGCTATTTACCTCATGGTTATTTGTGGGACCTTGGTGTTGCGAATAGCTGTCACCTGGCCTAAAAAAGTCACTGTGTTTGATAGTTAATGATGAACCAATTTGAGGTCTTTCAAACATGACATGAGAAGCAATTTTCATTTTTGTAAATTATTTAAGTATTAACCCAATGATTTCTGTGTTACCTAGCATGCACCAAGATACCACAGGCTATGTCTGTCTCCTAATTCAACCAACCAAGAAGGAGGATGCCGGTTGGTACACAGTGTCTGCCAAAAATGAGGCAGGAATAGTGTCGTGCACAGCTCGATTGGATTTATATGGTAAGGTTGTATTTTTGAAAGCATTCACTTCATAGAATTATTGATTCTAACTAATTATGTCGTATAGTCTCTCACTTTTTAAACACGGCTAATTTTGCATCAAAATGTGCCATTAAAATAAGATGTATAAAAGTTACATTAAAAGTTTCATGTTTTAAGGAATTCATTAAGTTGCCTGGTATCTTAGCCTGTTGAAGTAGATAGATAATCTTTCTGAATCTGTTCCATTTTAAGTGTCTTTCCTTTCTAAACACTGGTATAAATGTGTTGAGTGGCAGAGGGGAGTAGTGGATTTCTCCCAAGGTTCAAATTCCTGCATACATGTATTTGCATTTTTATTTGGCTTCAGTAGCCTAGCAACTTAGGTATTCACAAAGCAAAAACCTTTCAGATATTCTCCCAATCTGAAAGGAACCATATAACTGTAAATTGTGGTTGAATACTTAATAACAATAAACAGTAGGTTGTGTGTGAACTTCACTGGACTGCCAGGGATCAAGAACATATTTTCTTCTCCCTCTACTCTAACCAGCAGACACACATATACTTTACCAATATACTGGGAATCAAACAACTAGAAACTGGACCCCTTTCTCCTTAGTGGATCTTCAGAGTTAGAAAAGACATTTGGAAGCTACAAACTGCTTATGCAGCTGAATGTTAACTATAATGAAGCTTTAAGCAACATAAGGAAAAAATTATATTCTGTGTAATACAAGACAAACTCAGAATCAAAATTAATTTAATTCGTCAGAAAATTATTCTATCAAACCACATTCCACGTTTTTGCAATTGGTTCTGAGACATTATTAAATCTGGTTGCTCTTTGTAAATAAAGAATAATGCAAATTAAAAAAAATCCATATATATTACAGATAACCCAGTGCTTAAAATTACTGTGCAAAGTAAATGTGTGCATTGTTGTGTTAAGACTTTGCTCCCTTATAGGCCAGTTTCACTTAAATTGTCACTGAAATGTTCCACAATCCAATGAATGTCCTTGTTGATTCAGAGCACTGGATATTTACTTTCTTTCTTACAACAGCTCAGTGGCACCAGCAGATCCAGCAGCCGATAAAGAAAGTGCGGCCTTCGGGCAGCAGATATGCAGCTCTTACCGATCAAGGACTGGATGTTAAATCTGCCTTCCCAACAGTGGACAGTGCACAATTCTCAAGTAAACACAGACTGATGGAAAGCGATGAGTTGTAAACTTATGATTTAAATCATTTTGTTAAGTTTGCTTCTGCAGGACTAACAACTGTGAAGAGTGGCCAAGTGACTCAAGGTTTACATGAAGTCGAGTTTCTATGAGCTTGTTGCTTTTGTGAGTGTTAAAAGCAGGACAGTATGAGATAGAAATTTGAATTAGAATGCACATTTACAGTGCTACATAGGAGCAGTATAATAATTGTTTAAAATCCTGTTTATTTAGTGAAAAGACATGGCTTTAAAATGCTAAATGCTAGAAATATCTCAGCTAATATAAACTGACAACTAATTAGATGAGTCATCTTTAAAAAAAACATTAGTTACCATTCATAAGGTTTTGCTGAGATTTTCATTTAAATGTTTGTGACAAGAACAATCAGAGAATGAAGAAAAATCTCCAAATGCTACCTTGCCACTTTTGATATGCCGCTATGGGAACTGTGTAAACTTGGTCCACATGGTATGTTTTAACTCAACTATGGTGTGCTACAGTTCACAACATGCTCACCATAATCAGAGGTTTTCAGTCATGCTTAATAAAGCTAAAAGTGCCTTGTTTCATCACAATGCTGCATACTGTAGTAGTACTTAATGCTGCTTGTGATCATTCAATCTGTAGACTACAGTAGACAGAGTTGTTTGCAACTAAAGCGCTTTTGTGCTCATTTATAATAATTCAAACTACTTCTGTTTTAGCTTTGGAAAACACCTTAAGAACGGCTTTTAAGCAAATTACCCTTTTAAGCTTAAAGCAGTTATTTACAAATAGACCTACCAATTGTGAGGTTCCAGTAATTCCAAATCAACTTCAATTTTTACATCAACTTCATCTGTTTGGTATCAAGTCAGTCTTGTGCCTTATACATAACAGGTCTGGAATTTCCAATGCCCTCCATTTATAGTAAATGGGGGGAAGTTCTAGCCCAAATCATAGACTTGTTTTTGGAGCCACGCAGACACATGTTTTTATTAAAGGCTAAAGCCAATAAGTGCATGCTCACCTTTAAAAGATTTTTACATTATCAAACCATTTAAAGAGTTATTCTTACTACAAGTTACTCAATAAAAGTGTTGTGTGCAGCTAACTATACACCCACTGAAGTAAATAGCAGCTGTTTCAAAATAATTAGCAGTTTATTTTCATTTTGAAGATTGTTTTCAGATAGCGGGGTTAACAGCAGGAAAGGGGTTTTCAGGTAGAGGGCTTGACAGCAGGAAAGAGGAGTTTCAGGTTGGGGGGTTGACATGTGAGATAGGCTGATAGGATGTTTGAGAAATGCTTCAGACTTTTTGCAGCTTAAAACTACCTTGAACTTCTTATTCCCTAGTTCAGTTTATATGACAATAGAACATAGTCACAATGAATGGTTAAGTTGAAGCAAGTGTCTTTTTGGTGTAAAATTGCACTTGTGACAAAATAATGGATTGTTTATCTTCTTGTGAATAAAGATTTATTTATTGCAACAAGTCTTCACGTTGTGAATAATGTATGAATAATGCATGAATAATATTTAAAGCATGATAATTAAACATTTCTGAACAATGGAGAACGACTAACTATAGCATCTGATGCCCATTGTTTTCTACAGATTACAACATACACAAAAAAAAGTGTTCAACTCACCAATGCTTATCTTTTGCACCGACTCTCAGCACTGTATAACTTGTATGAATTAAATTCATAAATGGACTTACAATTGAAATGACTATTAACACACACTTCCTAACAAAATTGTGTGAATATAATATGTTCAAGGTTATTTCTAGGACTTGTGTTTGCCCAAGGTTAAGTGTCAAACAATATATGTAGAAAAATATCAAGAAAGCCCTTCTGGAAACTATTGTATAACTATTGTACCTTTAATATCTTCATAAGATATGCATTTTGTAAAATAATAATGCTATCTAAAACCTCTGTTAAAGAGGTTATAAACATACATTCACTGCACTTGACAACAAAATACTATGAAGGTCTTTGAGACATTTTGACAATGTGATAAGGTATTACAAACACAAAAATTATTAGTATTTGTTATTAACATGCAATATGTAAGATGTTTGACCATTTCAGGAAATGATATTTGAATCATAGCAACTTAAATATTTTTATTACATTTCTTAAGTACAACACCGTAATGTACCTTGAATGTCAATACATTAACTGAGCTTTGTAGTGGGAACTAACATGTCTGAAACTTTCTCTTTTTAATGAAAATGATTGTAAAAAATATGAGAGAAAGTTTTAGATTATGTTCTTTTCTACAGGAATTTCATTACTTCTGCAAAGTAAATAGTGTGTTTCAGATTCGGAGAAAAATTACACATCGATTTCTACTTTCTCTTCAATGTTCAATACACTCTTCAATACAGTGGAGTCCTGTAGCTCAGTGGTTAGAGCACTCGCTTTGCAAGTGAGAGACCTGAGTTCAATTCCAGGCAGGGCGAAACCTTGGGCAAGTTTCCTTACTCCACACGCCTAATAATAATCCCTCCAAAAAAACAAAAACAATAATAAATTGGTCATTTTCAATCTACGACTGTTTGTGGGACATTGCTGTGCGCAATTGGCTGCCCCGTTCGCCCAATATACAGTCAATTCACTTTACAGTCTATTCTGTGAAGCGCTTTGGGACGTCCTCCCGACGTGAAAAGCGCTATATCAAATGCAAGGATTATTATTATTATTATTATAATGTTAATTCCCACCAACCCATTTGTTGCACCACATGTATGATGAATATGCTGGTCTGCTTGTTATCTCAGGAATCATGTCAAAGCTTGGAATTGTGAATTGTAGCCAGAGCTGAAAAACGAGTAGAAGAAATGGCAAAGAAAAGAGGGAACAACAAAGTCGTGAAAGAGAAACACTGTAAAACAAAGAAAATTGGCCAAAATCAACACAGAAAATAAAGCGAATGAGAACAGTGGCAAAGAGAAAAGCCTCACCCACCCTGAAGGCGAGTTGAATTGTTGATCAGGAAACTGAGGCTTGGGAAATCAGCTGCTGCAAAGTATTGTTACCTGGAGTCTGGGTTTGTAAACATGTAGCCAGTAACATGTATATCCAAAGCTTGATATTCACCTTGCAGAGAGGTAAGTACCTGCTTCTCAAACTCCGCCATCATTCAATGTGTAGGGATGTGTGTCTGAGCTGTGGGTAGGAGAAAGTTGGCAGTGTCCTCTCACATTTCATGCTGAAATGGGCTACTCACCAGGAGGCTCACAGGGTGTTCCTGCCACCTGCCCTGGCACCTGCTATCCACCAAAGGAAGGCTCAAAGCTGCGCTTATCAGATGTCGAAAAACCACCTGGTAAGCAGGAATACCCTCCTTGGTAAGCAGGGATCCCCTTGGTGCTGAGCTGGGTCCAAGATGATGTTTTTGGCAACGGAATGTTGGACTCTAGTCAACCCTTTAAGGCTATCTCAGTAGCCCTGTTCCTGAACCAGGTGGGTCTGCAGTACTCCAAAGTACTGACCAGTCAACCCGGCTCATCAGCAGAATTTGGAGGGGCAGACCACAGGGAACAAGGATTCTTCCAAGTGACCTCCTGTTAGCCCTGAAAGCCAAAGTCCTAATGTGAGTCGACCGATCCTAACTGGACAAGCAGTGGGAAGATTGCCAGACAGTGCTTTCATTGCAAGCTTTGTGGTTTTAGCTGGTTAAACTCCAGCAGCACCACAACATATTGTGGGCCCCCAGGCCTTGGGTCTTACTAACATGCACCGAATAAACTATAGAATTAGATAAGCAGGACAGGTGCATATTTGGGAGAGAGTGCATATTATATTCCGGGCATAAGGACATTTCTATGTGTAAGGGTCATACTTACATGGAACTCTGCCTGGTTTGGATACTCTGAAGCGTGGCAATAGGTTTCTGAATGTGGCAGACACTGAACTGTTTGGCCTTGACTCACATTCCTCACTGCAAGTACTTGAGTGTGGACTTAAAAAGCATAGGATTGGTTTTATTGTTTCCATATTTTTCCTTTGTTAACAATTGAATATTAAGATTGAAAAAAATGTTCATGAAATTCAAGGATAATTCAGGCAGGGAAAATAGGGTATCAGAGAAATATCCGTTATTGGCAATACTGTGTCTACAAACAAGCTAATATAATGGAGATTGTTACAATTCAATGAATCAACCAGAGATTGATTTAAAATGGCTGATGGCTCCCCCAACTGGTTATTCCGTATAAACACTTCACTATTACCCTTTCCAAAATAATTATTTAAATATACAGTATTTTTCACATTTAGTGTATGGGGGAATTATCTAAGTCATTTGTATTAGTTCCTTTTGCAATTTTGCATGGAATTATAATAAAGTTCTAAATACTACACACAAATGCAACATCTTCTCCTGGGCATGTCTATAATTTGCTTTTTATGCTTCTACACTTGAAACTGAAACAGAAAAAAAATTAGCAGCCCCCCCCCCCCCCGAAGTTCTCATCATTAATAAATGATTCGGAGAATAGGACACATTTTACAATTTATGATCCAGTGCATTTGTGGGCCGCCCCCACTGCTAGGGCCGCTTTGTAGCAATTGTTTGAGCAGTCAGTATACCAGCATAAACTCAGCACTGAAAATCAGGTGAATCGTTGGGATTTGGGCTAAATAATGGATTTCACAGGAGGCCCAGAGGATGTTTCAGGAAAGATGCTATTTGCACCCACACAATAAAAACATGGGGGGTTAGGTACAAATAGCACTGAAGCCCCTTAAAGTCTGTTCAAAATGCACACCATCAAAATCCAGTGTTGAGGTGGGGAGGGAGCTTTGATTGAGAATGATGTGGAGAAGATAGTGTACTAACAAACTGGCTTCCCACTCATATGATTACACTGCTTTAGCTCCCAGGACTATAACAGGATAAATGTTCTTGAGAGCCCAGAAGCTTTTATTTTTCTTTAAAAAATACTATTAAAAAGCCATGTTGAGTGATAAACAAACCAAAAGGAAATTCCTGACTGTTCTGAGTTGTGAGCCTTACAACCAATGCAATGAGGATAAATATAAATTAGGTTTCCTCATTGTTTGCTCTTGTGTGGAAGCAATATTGCTCAACTCCACAGGTGTTACTGGACTGTATTTACCTGTATTGTCTTGAGGTAATAAATTATTCAAATATATAAGATCACCGTAAGCATTAGATTAGTAACATTTCTCTAGCTGTTTAGTACAGAGAATTGAATGTGGTTGTCATATTGACAGCTAACGGAATAGCAGGTATCAGTAGGACATCAATACAAACCAGGTTCTGAGTTGTAGGGAGTTGGAAACAACAACAACAACAAGATTCCATTTATAGAGCACCTTTCACGTCAGGAGGACGTCCCAAGGCGCTGTACAGTTGGGTCAGGACCCGAGCAGGGGGGAAGTGGTCAGGGTGAGGGGAGGGAAGGGAGGGAGCGAGGAGGAAGTAGAGAGTTGAGAGGGGAGCTGAAGGCACGGTCAAAGAGAAAGGTCTTGAGACCGGCCTTGAAGGAGGAAAGGGAGGAGGCAAGGTGAAGGCACTGGGGGATAGAGTTCCTGAGCCTAGGGGCTGAGAGGCTGAAGGCCCGGTCACCGATGGTAGGGCGGTTGGGGCGAGGGATGTGGAGCAGACCGGAGCCAGAGGAACGGAGGGTACGGGCAGGTAGATAGGGGGATAGTAGATCGGAGAGGTAGGAGGGAGCAAGGCCGTGAATGGCCTTGTAGGTGAGGATGAGGATCTTGAATTCGAAGTAGACCATAAGAACGAAACTCTGAAGATACTTTAAGTTTAAAGGATACGACTTAAAACATCACCCCATGATTATATAATCTAAATAAATTGTGCTATACTATATTTGATAAAAAAAATTAAAACCTATACAGTCAAATTTTATATAGAGTTCAACTGTAAGCTTTTATAAAATTGTTTTCCCGTTTATATTTGGAATAACTGGCATTTGGCTGAGTTACAGGCATGCAATAACTACTGTAGATCATAGCTGGAATATGAGACTTTCTGGGAGGTTTTTGTAGTGATGGACGAGCTTGCTGAGCTGTTCTTTGTCGCTCTATATTTCACAAAGCGAGTTGCACAACCCTAACCAATCTCACCTGTGAGTAATCGTGTTCTATTTATAAGTAATTAATCTCTGTAAAAGTTATAGAGGATGTTGTATAACCCTTAGTTAGTGGCCTCCTTAGGGGAAAGAGATATGTATTATGTTCCAAAAAAGTATCACAGTTCATTTATTTTGTACCAGCTATTTATATTTATAAGCCCCAATGAACCTGCAGTACATGGGGAGAGATTTGTTAAGCATAGAAATTGCTCTGTGTTCAGTATTCACTGTGATTCAACGCAGGGATTTATTTTCTAAAGCATAAATAAAATGACAGCCATTCCCCTCCACGAAGTCTCGAAATCAAATCCATTATCAAAATGATCACAATGAAAAGTATCCCTTTATGTTTTCTACTGTAACCATTTTACTGCAGCTTTCAATTGTCCCGAACATTTATCGATGCTATGATTTACGCTATGATTTGCATAGTCGCACCATTATATTTCTTCTCTGTGACACCAGTAATATCGTTCCCTCTAATAGTTAAATTAATCACTGCAAAATAAATCGGCTGCTTAGTTCGAGTTGAAGGCAAAAGGAGTGTCAATGTGCATCATCCTGGCACAGTCACTTCATTGATTAAAGTTCAAGAAGAGGTTTAGCACATGTCTGCATGTGGGTTGTTTGCTTCGAAAGAATGTGCGTACAGAAATTGTACTTGTGCTATAGTATGAATGATCCCCTGAAACAAATCTTAAAGATAGATGGCTACATTTTAATGCAATCTAAGAAAAACAGTAACACTGTTTACAGCGCAGTTCTGACCAAGGCAGTGGTCAGCGAATGATCATACATCATCTTCGTGACTTTCTTCTTTTTTTTAAAACCTGTGCAACAAAAATAACATTCCAGGATGTATCCAAAAAATAAAAGTAATCAATCTTACCTTAAAAAACCATATAATACATTTAACATGGCACCCGAAATGTGCTTTAACTCTATGCAAATTAAAAGAAAAGCTTTGTTCTAACTTTGCAAGAATGATTTCAGTACCAACAGATGACATTATATACAGATTAGAGGTCGGTGCTCGAGAGATGCTATATAATAACTATCATTTAGAATGACTAACTTCGCTGGTTGTCAATAAGTCGACCGTACAATGGATTCTGCGACCAATGTCAACGTCCACGGTACGTGTTACATTTGAGCCATTTAACTTGGGAGCATTGGTTGGAAAACTTTTTTTTTTCGGTTTGGGAAAAGCTGCATCGACGCTTTCCTTCAATGCAATTCACGGTGAGCGTTTCTTTCTTCCTTTTCTTTCTTTCTCTCTCTCTCTCACTCTCTCTCTCTCTCTCTCTCACTCTCTGTCTCTCACTCTCACTCTCTCCCTTTCCTGGCGCTCTCATCCATTGACGATTTGGAAGCTGTTGTCGCGGTTGAACGGGAAGATGCTTCCAGTGTAAGAGTCTTTCCTCTCTGGGGCGGTCTGTCCGAGGTAAGTCTGGAAGTTCTCTGCTTCCTGCACATGTTCATATTGGATGTGGATCCAGCGCCTGTCGGTGCTGTAGCGCTCGGCCTCGGCCAGGATGCGGGTCAAGGCCATGATGTAGCTCAGGGCCATTTGCAAGGTCTCGTATTTGGAGAGTTTCTTGTCCTGTCCCCACTGAGGTACCACTTTGCGCAGACGGTCGAAGGCGGTGTTGAGTCCCTGCATTCGCCGCCTCTCCCGGGCATTGGCTGCCAACCTCCTGCGGGCACCGCTCTCCACCCTCTCCCCCCCACACGGGGACTCCGAGCCCGAAGCGGATCCGACTCCAGAAACCAACTCTGCTCCTGAAGCGGAGTCACATTTACTCGCTTTCATGACTTGGGGGCGCAATCGGAGCAGGAGCCCGGGCTGAGGAGGGGATCAATCAGCCTCACTCACTCACTCTCTCACTCACTCACTCACTCACTCACTCACTCTCTCTCTCTCTCACTCTCTCTCACACTCTCTCTCACACTCACTCTCACACTCACTCTCTCTCACACTCACACTCTCTCACACTCACACTCTCTCTCACTCACACTCTCTCACACTCTCTCTCTCTCACACTCTCTCTCTCACACTCACTCACTCACTCACTCACTCACTCACTCACTCACTCACTCACTCACTCGCACACCTTATTGCCTCTGGGATGTTGTTGATGTTGAACAGATGTTTAGATGCCTTCTGTCTGAGCTGCGACAGCTGAAATCTTTTCCTTTTCATTCGTTTGAATCTATAAAAAAAAGTCCAAATGCTATATATATATATATTTACCTATATCTCTATTATTGCATTTTACTTTTCTGGGGGAAAAAAAGTAATTGCAAGAAGAGGACGATGCCTTTCAAAGTTCCCAAAGGAGGGCGAAGTTGAGGTGATGGCGAGAGTGGCACTGCTCCGCTTTAGTAGAGAGCCTGAAGCTGAATTGAAGGACGAGCAGATTATGACTGTATTCTCCCCTTCTCCCCTTCTCCCCTTTCGCCTGAAATATCGAACCTGTTTTTTTTGTTGTTTGTGTTTGTGTTTGTTTGGCTTACGAAAGGCGATCCTTGAGGGCGCTGTGGTCTTTGATCCCCGTTGAGGCTGTGAAGCTGAGTTGCTAAGAGGGAGAGAGGAGCAGGTCCATTCCTGGCTGATGCCGGTGGGATGTGAGGAGTGTCTGTGTGTCTGTCTGTGTGTCTGTCTGTCTGTCTGCTCCCTCGGCTGGTTTTATAGATCTGCCTTGTGCTTTAACAGGTGGTAGCAGGTGCAATGGCGTCCCCAGCCCGAGTCCCAGCGCCGTTCCTCCCTGGGAAAATCTGATCGGACAAGAAAGAGCCTCGTCCCCCTTTGCCTTCTCTTCCAAACACTCCTTCCAGCACTTGGCCATTACCATATGGTCAAACCTTCCCTCTGTGTGGAGACGTGGACAGTGATTAATACCTAAACGTGGCGATTAGCCCAAATTCTGAACGTGGATCTTTTTTTCCCCCCTTTCCCAGGACGAGATTAAAGACTTAAATAGGAAGGCGAAATCTGCAAAGAATTGCACTTTTACCGACTGTGCGCGTACAGTGTGAAGACCCTGGGAATCTGCAATGGGAATAACAATTGCTCATCCACAGCACAGCTCAGTCATTCCCTTCTGCACTTTTCCCATGAAAGACAAGCCAATGGTACACATACAAAAAGATTTCAGAGCTTGGCAAGTTTAAATAAGACATGATTTGTTCAAAACATTTGACATCAACCAGCTTTAACTTTTTACTTGCGAATTAAAATTCTATTGCAATTGTAAAATAAATATTTTAAGGCTTAGAGACAACGGATCCTGAGTCTGGTGATCTCTAGCAGCGGTTACTTGCCACAGAGCAGCTTTGCTTACAGCAGTATTTTCATTCTCTCTTTCTTTAAGGAATTCTGCTCGATACTTCACGTCATTCGACCTTAATATATTTCCATCTGTTGGTATGTTTTATGACATTTCCATGAATTAAATCTTTGCAGTTGTATTCTGGGAGAGTTGTGACGGTTTACCTCCTCCAACTGTTTAAGATGAGGGAATAAAGAGCCTATCATATCTAGACATGATATAGATTTTTCTTATGTTTTATTGTACTTTGAAAGACCTTTCAGGGCATGATTTGGATTATATTGGCCAAGGGGTTTATACAATATTAACATACAGCCAATAAAATGAATCACCAATTTTATCTGGGGGATTATTGACCAGCACCTTGGTTGAAACTCAATTCTCTGTTTGAACTGCGCATGGGATCATTAATGTCCACCTGAACAGGAAGACAGGTCCTCAGTTTAACATCTGAGCTGAAGAATGGCACCTCTGACAATGCAGCACGCCCCCAGCACTGCACTGGAGTGGCATCTTAGATTATATGAGTTCAAAATCTTCTAACTTACAACCTTCTCACTCAAAGATGAGAGTACTACTAATTAAGCCAGGCTAACATCTTATTGCCTCAGCTCCACTAGCGAGTCTATTACCAGCAGTTGTTCCAAATGCTTAGAACTTTGAAAACAGATACAGTCACATCATTGAAGCAACCAGGTCTAATATATAATGATGTTTTTGCAGCAGTAAAATGTGCTCAATGAAAGAACTTGTCAGTCACCCAGTGCGTTGTGTGCTGCTATGATAACACTCCAGGGGTAAAGGGGAAATAAAATCAAAGCAATGCATAGTTGCTATTTGGTGGATACAACAACAAAATTACATTTATAGAGAGTCTTTCACGTCGGGAGGACGTCCAATAAAACAAAAGGTATGAATAAAGTTCAAAGAGAGGACAGGAAAAGGACATGGGGAAATCAATTAGGAGCAAGAATGAACAGGGATATGAACTCTGAATATCCAGAACTATTAGTGCAAAGGTATTCTAGTATAATGGGTCCCATTTAGCCATATATACAAGCTCCCCGCATGAAAGGTGCTATATAAATGCAAGTTGTTGTTGCTGTATATTGACCAATACCAGTTTAACATAGATAATTATTTGCGGGCAACATTTTCTAGGGAGCTTTTGGCATTTAATTTCTTGCAACAAAAACACGATGAAAGCATGTTTGAATGATTCTTTAAACAACTGTTTGTGTTTGTAATAATTGCATGGTTCTATCCACCTCAGCTAAGCAGAAGGCGCTTTGTGAATAGCATTCCAGAGAGTGGTCAGCTGTCAACCATAGGATTGTTAAATTCTGGCTGCTATACTTCCATACTGATAAGCAAAAGCATTCTGCTGCTGTAACAGCTTTCTTACTTCTGGGAAATTGTACACATGTTCACAATAGCTTTCCATCTATCCACCAAACTGTTGCTCTCAGATGAACAGCCGGTATGTTAAATTGATTCCAAGCCACGTCTAACAGCCCTAGTTCGCCAAATACTTCCCTCTCAAGCTGCATTGTCAACTGTGTTGATGTCAATCATTGCCTAAACAGTTTTACTATTTTGTCTGCAATTCATCTAAACAAAATGACATTAAATTGTGTCATGATACTCTGTGCTATTGTGTGCACTTTGATAATACCAGTCTAAGAATCTTGTTAATAAAGTTTAAAGAGTTATAATTATAAACTGGGGAGTCTTTGGAAAAAAAATGTCATTGCTTAAAATTATTTTCCATTCATTACATTTTTACTATACCGTTAAGTCAATAAGATGCGAACGCAGATGATAACAAATATATTTCCATATTAAACTGCTTCATATATTTTAAACATTTATTTCAATCTTATTTTTTGCAAAGAAATAGAACAGATAATTTCTGACTCAGTTTGGCATACTAAAGCAAGTTTATTGATGTCATCTCACTGACATCAGTTTATAGTAGTTACTCTAATGAGCGTCCTTTGAATGAGCTCTGAGACGCTACCTCGTGTGAAGGGCTCCATATAAATGCAAGTTGTTGTTTGTTTAGAATATCTAATAATAACCTTTGTATTTGATACAGCACCTTATTATGTCATAGAGATGTCTCAAGGTGCTTCACAGGATATACTGTAAAGTGTAATGACTGTGTGTTTTGTACATAATGATTTTTGAAAAAAAGCCTTAAAAGCCATCTCCATTTTATTTTGTATCTTCACATGCTGAGTAATCTATTGATAAAGCAGCTATTAATAAAGATAAATTTATTTTGACTGTGTCTACAATGTCTTTTGCGATCCTACAAAAATTCAGAATACTGCCAGTGTATTTATTACCTGCAACTGCTCTTTTTGAAACTGTTCCAAGTACCAGCTGGAATACACTTAAGGCATCTCATTTACAGAGGAGGTGATGGCAAAGCAAATTGCACCTGTGCTGAACACAAACATCTCGGAAAATTGAGGTTGTGCCAAGGGGTGCACTTTGAAGCATTTGCCCATTATACCAATGTCTGTGTTAGATTAGGATTGTCAGGCTGCATTCTTATCATAAATTGAATCTGAAAATTCCAGACAGACCTGTTGATTTCAATCCACTCTCACTTTTCTGGTATATCAATTCACACCTAACCAAGATGACAGAGGAGTTGTGTAACCTGAGGAGTTCGCGTCTAGTGGCCCTGGGCTCAACCATCTTCCTGGTCTGTGTGGCTTAGCTTTATAATAAGTGATGATGCCTTTACTTAGTGGGATCGGGTTAGTTATTAACAGTCAAGACTATAAGGGGGAAATATATATATTTATACTGATATATATATATCAGTATAAAACCAGGAGGGAAATCAGAGACTAGATAGGTGAGTATTTATACTGGCTTTGAACCAGTTAACGCAGAAAATGATGCCGGATTTACAGCATTACAAGGGCTCCAATACAAGCTGAACTGTTGTGAGAACTTTATTACAAACCTGTGTTTGTAATAGTGAAGCAGTCATGTTATGTGATAACACTGAGGGACTAATGCATACATAATCATAGCAAAGAAAACTCTACACAGCTTCAGTTTGCTGAGACTTTATGTTGCTCCAGTTTTCTGTTGTGCATATTATTTTAATATACATCCTCATCATTCAATTTAGAATTTTTTTGCATCGCACATGACTTCCTCCAAGGGTGTCAATGGGGGAGCCTTCAACCCCCAATCTCTGCCAATGATGTCCATTAGTGCTAAGAGGAAGGTGATTCAGATCCAATGATTAGCTCTTCCATTTAACTCCCACCTTTTCTGGAATGCCTAGCCTACACTAATAACCCCGACACCCCCCCAAACTGCCCACACACACCTTCTGCATTGAATCACCTCCTCTTCCTCACAGTTGAGATCAGATACTCACTGACTAGGGAATTATGCACTAACCCAGTAACAGTCTATTTTTTCATCAAAAAAATAACACAGATGTGATTTC